TATTGTTTAATTCAGATGTCTCTCTGTTAACTCTCTGCCCTGTTGACTTATGCAATGCAGACAGTGAGGTATTGAAATCCCCTACTATTAATGAGTTGGGATTAATCTCGGTCTTAAAGTCCTGTAATATTTTTTTTATGAAGTTGGGTGCACCAGTGTTTGGTGAATATATGTTCATGATTTTAATATCTTCTTGATTTATTGTTCCTTTGATCAGAATGAAGTGGCCCTCTTTATCTCTTCTGACTAGTTTTAAAGTCTAAACTTTATTTTGTCAGATATTAGAATTGCTATACCTGCTTTTTTCTTACTACCATTTTCTTGGTATATTTTTTTCCATCCTTTCACTTTAAGATAGTGTCTGTTCTTGAAAGTGAGATGAGTTTCTTGTAGACAACAAAAAGATGGGTTTTGTTTCTTAACCCATTCACCTAGTCTGTGTCTTTTGACTGGGGAGTTCAGACCATTAATATTTCAAGTTATTAATGAAAGATGAGTTTGAATCCTGTCATTTTTATTTCTGTTTACATTCTTGATATAGCTGTACTTTTCCACAGTTATACCTTCATTGAATTTCTTTCCACAACCCCTTGGGTATAGTCATTCCTTTCTTCAGCTCTTTGTATTGCTTCCAGAACTCTCTGAAGGGCTGCTTTTGTGGACATGAATTCCCTCAGCCTATTTATGTCATGGAAGATTTTTCTTTCAAGTTCGACTATAATAGACATTTTGAGTGGGTATAGTAATCTGGGTTGGCATCTGTGGTCATTACACTGGGAATATTTTGGTCCAGGCTCTTCTGGCTTTCATAGTTTGCACTGAAAAGTCAGCTGTAATCTTAATGGGTTTTCCTTTATATGTGACTTGTTGTTTCTCTTTTGCAGCTTTCAGTATTGTCTCTTTGTTTTGTACATTTAGTGTTTTTTCTGTCATGTGCTGTGGAGAGTTTCTTTTCTGGTCCTGTCTGTTTGGTGTTCTATAAGCTTCTTATATTTTTATGGGCATGTCTTTCTTTAAATTTGGGACATTTTCTTCCATGATTCTGTTGAAGATCTGGTCCATGCCATTATCTTGGGATTCCTCTCCTTCCTCTATGCCTATGATTCGTAAGTTTGGCCTTTTTATGGTGTCACACAATTCCTGTATACTCCATTCTTGTGATTTCTTAAACTTTTCATAATCTTTGCTTGAGTGGTCTAGTTCGTCCACTTTATCTTCCAGTCTTGATACTCTGTTTTCCATTTCATTCATCCTATTGGTGAGGCTTTCTCCTGTCATTTCTAATTGGCTTACTGAAGGTTTCACTTCCTTCTTCATTTCAGCCTGAGTAGTCTTCAATATTTCTCTTTTCTGAATTCATTCAGAAGTTTATCCCTATCTTCCTTCAGTTCTTTGATTTCTTTGTTTGTGTGTTCTTTAAATTCACTGAATTCTTTTATCATGTTTATAATTGTTCTTTTGATTTCCATGTCCAGCATTATCTCTAGGGGGTTCTCATTGTATTCCAGAGGAGTATTGGTATTTGGTAGGGATATGTCATTTTGGTTTTCATGTTATTATTTTTTCTCTGTGATTTTGACATGTGAATTTCTTTTG